CCACCCCATCAGAGTCAGCAAGATGAAAGATTCACTGTTCTAGAAGTGGGGAAGTTTAAGGTTTTCTTAACGACCCCTCTAACTAGCTGTGTGAATGTGGGCAAGCCTCTTAGTATACCTGGATCTTGATTTCCTTCTCTATAAGACAGATCTTGGTTTCTTGCCCATTCAGTGCCACCTTCTGAAAGCTTGCAGAAACAAAACTGAATTTATCTTGTTAGAGTTGGGTCAAGTCTGCAGGACTGGAGGACTGTCATGGGCCTTACTGGCTTTAGACAGTGGCTAAAAGGGCCATTGAACCCAGCTTGAGTACTTCCCAGAGCTAGAAGCACTGCTTTGAAAATGCTACTCCAGATGTGTACCAAATCATAAAATTATTAAACCAAACTTGCTGTCAAAATTTTGATTAGTCTACTTAGGATAAAAGTGTGGGTGGTTAATTGTGGGGGAGGTTTCCTAGAAACAGCCTTCGTGGGCTGTGTGGTCAGACCTTCCAGTGCAGGGAGACTGTTGGTGTAGTTCAGCAGCCACTGGGCTCCCACACATGCCTGCTGAAGTCATCCTCCGGAAGGAAGGTTAGAGCTGAGGCTGCCTGGTGCACCTTCATCGACAGTTCTCCTGGCGGATGTTTGACTGTTTCGGTTTCAGAGGAAATCCCAGAAGTTTCTATCCCGGCTGCTCTGACAGCCACTGATTTTAGCAGCTAGCTGCTCTGATGATTAATTACTGTCACCAGGCTGCAGAGGGTGTGCAGCACCCAAATCCACTCTCTTCTGGCTTTCACACCAACTCATTTTAGGACTTAGAGCAAGGAGCTTAGCCAACTTGAAGTCTTGCCCTGTAGCTAAAGGGAGACTGAAGGATATGGGAGTAAGGTGGATACCTACTTTCCTTCTCTCTAGTGGTAGGGAACAAGTTCCTGAATTTCTTAAGTAATTCTGACCTTTGGCTCTTCGGCATTAATCCTCATTCCAAATCTGTATCTTTTAGGTTACCACTGAACAACTGATGTTTGAGGAGAAGAATAAAGCTCAGAGACTGCAGACTGAATTAGACGTCAGTGAGCAAGTCCAGAGGGATTTTGTAAAGCTTTCCCAGACACTTCAGGTGAGGCATCTGGGGAACCTCTACAGAGAGCACCAAGGCACTTTGGGGACCCTGGCACCCAGCAGAAGTTTGCCATTCCCTGACTCAGCTACTGACAATAGCTAGAGGTTTGGAAGCTATAGCTGCCCCTGCTCCCACCCCAAATATCTGCCTAGTCAGCAAGCCAGAAACCTGGTATGTACCTCAGACTCATCCCTCTTTTCCTTTATGCCTGGCCACTTCTGCCTCTTTAAGGGTGTAAACTCCTTAGCATAGCATGTAACTCTTCCCAACCAGGCCTGTCTCTACATTTTGTTCTTTTGGCGGCCTTGTATTTTATATTGTTTTTGAACTGCTTGTGGTTCCTTGCCCACAGCATGGTGTTCCTGCTCATAAGCATCCCTGCCTCTTCCCCTTCCTATTCCTGTCTTTGAAGGCCCAGCACAGGTTTGTCCTTTCCATAGATCCCTCTCTAGGTCCCCAAGCAGGGCTAAAGTGCCCTCCCTCCCCTTGCCATGCTTCCTTGGTGTTCTGTGAATGCCTACAGTGACATCTGGCATGTTTTGCTTATACTCCTTGTAAGCCTGTTCCTCCTTACTGAATTGTGGGATCGCAGTGGTCAGGGATCAGGTGTCACTCATCTCCATAATCCCAGCACCTTACATTGGGTCTGTTACATAGCAGCACTTGGGAATTGGGTTTTGAATTGTTCTTGCTGTCTCCCTTCTTTGAAGTTCTCTGGTGCGTTAATCTGCTCATCTCAGCTATAAGCCAATCAAAATAAAGTTCAGAAAATCTAGGCAGGAGCCACCTGCATTTATCTATCTCACGGTATTCTTCCTCTCCAGGTGCAGTTAGAGAGGATCCGGCAAGCAGACTCCCTGGAGAGAATCCGGGCGATTCTGAATGATACCAAACTGACAGACATTAACCAGCTCCCCGAGACATGACCCACGATGGCAGGACTCTAGCCTGCACTTTGGGTTTTTAACTCATTTAGACCCACGTTAATTATTATTTAACTCTTAACTGAAGAAACGTCACAACAAAAGCAGACTGAAAAAATGCTGATTTCTGTGGGAGAAGACCGCAGCACAGGAACAGCAAACAGCCGAGGAGATCGGCAGTGAAGACCTTTCAAACGGGAACACTAACGAGACTCTGGACTCGATTCCAGGGGTGTAGGATCAGGTGATGGTGATGGAAAAAGTGCTGTTTCCTTGCCTGCTTTATCCAGCATAGATTTCTGGAACACATTTCTCTAACCTAAAACAACATCCAAATAGCCTTTGGAATTTTTTGTTCATAGATACTGGAAGAGAGAATTTTTTTCTGTTGTCTAGTGCTCATCAGTAACAGTATTCAGCTAGCAGAGGTCTAGTATGCTGTATGAATATTTTATATTAAAATATGAAGTGTGAGAGCAGGCCATTGGCTAGTGACTGTATTTCCTAGCTCAGCACCTTCCCCTTCCCTCCCATCCCCCTCCCCCCACCATTTAAATTTGCATTGGAGGACCTTAAATGCTACTGAAACTTGCTGGAGAACTAGTTGGTGGCAAGCAAAACCAATTCAAGAACTGAAGGAATTATGAGAATTTGAAAACTTGGCCCTTGCTGTATGTATTGGGAGTTGAGGTTAAAGGAAAAGCACAAGAGACTCTCTGGAAGCACTCTTTCTGCACATCCGGATGATCTTCACGGGCCCACAGGTGCCAGGGTAATGCTGAACTACACCATCTACTCTGAAAACTGTTTTGTTTTAGTTATTGGATCAGTGGAAAAAATAGTATTAATAAAACAAGCTATGTCTGACAAGTATACATTTATAAATCTGCCACTTGTTTTTAACTTGGATCAAAGGGCTTCAGTACTATTTGTTTCAAAAGTGTCAAATAGAAATGGTGATAACTAGGTTTGACAGATAACCTTCTTTCTGTTTTTCTCTTATAATTTATACTTAGAGTATACGTCATAATGCTGATGGTAAAGTTGGATTTTGGAAAAGCCAGGTTAGTATGTTCATCAGTTTGGGAATCTGCTTTGTCATTTCTTCAAGGTTAGATTCCTTTCCTGCATGAAGCCCCAGTAGAACAGGCTGTCACTGCCATAGCTTTATAAAGTGTTGCAGAAAGCACAAAGGGTGGATCTGTGGTCATTGTTTACCTGCTGCAGTAACTCCGGAGGATTAGCTGGTGGGAGGCTACATGTTTAACTACAGATAGCTCAAAAGTAAAGTTGTTTTCAAAGATTTTTTGTGACTGGTCTCACCTAACAGCAGGGTTACTTGAAGGAATCTTACTGGAATTAAGTGAACTAAGATCATTTGGTTCATTTAAAGCCACCATCAACTTACAGTTTAAGGTGAATTGTCTTTGTTATAAATGAAGTGATTATGGACTTGCCCTGGAGTCTTTACTTCTGTTTTCCATAGGACCAGTGATAAAGACTACGTACCTCACCCCTTGAGTTGTTGTTACAGTCTTGCATTCATGATTATGAACTTAAATACTAATTATGGAAATAGTGCTATAAGTTTGCCATGCATGGAACATTATTTTAATTGGTTTAAAGTCCCTGTATATAAAGTAATATTTGGTTTAGATAAACATATATCCTCATTGAGTTCCAGGAAATTTTATTAATTAATTCCCAAATGCAATCCATTTAAATTATATGAGTTTAAGACTAGTTCCTTGGGTAAGCCCCAAGCTATTTTATCTCAAAAGTTATTAAAATTAACACCATAAATCAGGACAGGTAATTCATAATCTTTCTGATTCAACTGACCTCTGTATCTAGCTCCCATGACCTTGCTCCCAGGACCTGGGCACCCTGAGGATGTTTTTCTCCAGAAGATGGATGGCACTGGGGCAGTCATCACTGTTTGTTTGGGAAATGTCGGTGATTGCCACCATACCCGCTTTGTTGAGAAAAACGTCCTAGAAAACCCAAACTGAGACTAGGTTTTATTTATCCATTTGTTTCTGGTATGAAACGAACTACTGTGTCACTATCCTGGTAGGAAACAATTGTTTAAACTGGGCTTTCTGCATAATAATAGGAAACTGATGAGAAAAGCAGGACCTGGCCTTCTAGTCAAAGAGCAGATGGGTTTCTTGAGTGTTCCTGTGCTTGTATTCAGTCTGTACACACGTGTTCTCACGCATGTCTAACCTGATTTACCTCTTACCTGTAACCTACCTTACCGTGTGGCTTTAAATTCGAAGCCACTCAGCCATTTCTAGGCAGGTGATGTGTTACCTTTCAGAATTCATATTGGCAGGTATGAAAAGATTACCCAAAGCTACTGAGGATGAAACCACCTTCTGGGTACCTAGCTATTTCTTTCTTGAGGTCCTAAACGTAAACGCGCACCTCCTACCCCCTCAGTAACAAGTACTGGGACACAGAGCACAGCCAAACTCAGCTCTGAAAGGTGGTACTGCCTGTTGTGGAAGTGAGCCAGCAGTGGCCTTTGCAATTGTGGATCTTGAGCTCTGCTCTGCAGATTTCAGGTATAACCATTGTTAACTGTACTGAAGGTGTGTCCTTAAGAAGAAAAGTGTTCAAATTAAAAAAGCTGCTGCCTAGTACACCGTGTGGCCTTTTCCTTTGAATCCCAGGGTTCTGTCCCTTTTCAGAGTCGTATTTCTGGGGCTCCTGCTTTAAAACAGCTCAAACCTGTGACTTTGTTCTTGCTCAAATGTGGAGAAAACTCAACAGGGTTCCTGGAGATCTGGCAGTGTGCAGCTCACAGTCTGTGTCTCAGGTGTTTGAAAAAACAAGCCTCAGCCCTTGCCAAGTATAACCATAGACTTGAACTGTAAAATACATTGCAATTTTTAAATACAAACATTTATTCAATCAATGTTTATAAAATAAGTATAAAAAATGATGAATGACCACACCAAAGTTCACTCAAAATGCTTCTTTATAAATTAGATAATGCTACCTGTTTGTTTTACAGTGCGAGTTTACACCTTCGGTTAACTTCAGTTGTGAATCTGTTCTGGTGGTGTCAGAAGTTTACGTGATTTCGGATATCATTGATCTGCTTCACCATTTCCCTTATGTGTTCACCCCTGTAAAATCACGAGGTCATTGACTTTTAGGAATACAATTAATAAGTAAGTCATTAGTATGGCTTCTTAAGAATTTAAACTAGTCATGTTGAAATATCTTACAAGTGTTTTGCTTAAGCAACTTAATTAAGGCTAAAGGCAGCAATAGCAGTGCAACTGTTGGAAATATTTTTTTGAACACATTCACTGGGGAATGCTGTTAGACCACACAACAAAATCATATTACAGGGAACTCTCACCATTTTGATTCCTTCCACCACGCTCATTTCTTAAATCCCTATCATATAGCTCCCATCCCAGTAACTACTTGACATGTAAATGCCAAAACTTGGGTTTCTTATCTGGGAAGAGAGGTTAACTTTGGCATACTGCAAGGAAGAGCTGTTTGGAATGACAGCTGTTTGGAAATATGTACTTACTCCTCCTTCAGGATGGACTGAATGCACTTTCGCTGGTAGGCACTGAGAGTAATGGTGGGTTTTTGAGGACTCAGTACCTTTTCCATCTTCCGCTGTTGATAGTCTTTTTTCATAGTAACCTTAAGTATCAAACAGAACACAGATATTCTGGCTGTGGTTTGCCACAAATTTTCAAAGTATCTATCTTAGTCTGTTCTTTTTACATTTTATAAAATTCTTCAATACAACAAGCTAGTTTTAAAAAAGCACCCAATGTAGCCACTTTGTATCCATTCTCACCTGTTTGATGGCATTGCCCAAATGTCGAAGTTGATCAGGAATCAGCTGTAATTCTTTCTTCATGTCCCTCTCACTATCAGAGAGAACCGGGAGCTGAGAGTGAAAACTGTGCAGTACTTTTTTCATCCTTTAGAAAAAGGTAAGCAAACATCACAGCTTAAGATCTGTGCCAAGGGTAGAAATACAATCACAAACAAAGCTCCTAATTCATGAATCTGCTGTCTGTGGAGACTTCCACAGGATGGGTTTGATGGAAGCATCCCAGTCTTTCCTAATGTATCCCTCAAAGGGAATAAGTAGGGTAATCAGATTCTGTAGGTATCTGAACACCTGCTATAGGCCCATTTTTCTTTAGTACCAGAGTACTTAATAACACTGTTAGTACTTGAGTAGGAAATTGAATGTTGTGCCACCCACTGACCTGTTCATGATATCTTCTTGTCTCTCCTTAGCTTCCTCATATTTGTCAGCTAAGCGCTCAGCCATTTCCCGTAGACTTTTTCTAATGACATAAAAAGCGAGACTCTTGAGGTCCACCTTGATGTTCATCAAAGTCAATGGATTTAGCTTAGCATCTTAGTAGGGTGAGAGAACAGTTCTAGTCTTACTGAACTACTGTTGTGTTCTCCCAAGTTTTGGTACTCACCTCTCCTCTCGACAATAATTGAGATCTTCTAGTTGTTTCTTTTTTTGGTCACACAACAATTTGACCCTTCAAGAACAAAAAAGAAACGAAGTTTAATCAGAAACCAGGTTTAGGCCATTACACAGTGTCAGCTACAAGGAAATAATGGTATGTGAAAAAAGGCCACTGCTTCTAAAGGACATCATACCTCCGCTGAATCTCCTCCTTTGCCAAGTCCTGTTTAAGGATGTACTGTTCTCTGAACACCTGTGTGGCTCTGCTAATAAGCTGAAGACATTCTTCAGGAGGGGCCGTATCCCTTTCAGACGACCTCAAAAAAAAAGTTTCAAAGATTAGTCCAAATGCCTAAGGGACCACAGTACTACAGCCACCACCAGACTGAGTCTCTGAGTCCAGCACTACACGGTGCCTGGCTACCACCACCGACTGCTCTGATAGGGATCACAATACAGGGTCCTGGACAGAACTGGAGAAAAATGTAAACAAAATGTTAACTCACCAAAAGAAGAAAAAAAAAAAGATCAGACTTACTGATCTGATAGACTGGAGAAACCCTGAGAGTATGGCCCTCGGACACCTTTAAGCTCAGTAATGAAGTCACTCCTGAGGTTCACCCTTCAGCCAAAGATTAGATAGGCCCATAAAAAAAGAGACTAAATGGGCACCCCAGCCCAGGGGCAAGGACAAGAAGGCAGGAGGGGGCAGGAAAGCTGTAATAGAGAATCTAAGGTCGAGAAAGGGAGAGTGCTGACATGTCGTGGGGTTGGTAACCAATGTCACAAAACAATATGTGTACTGTTTAATGAGAAGCTAGTTTGTTCCGTATACCTTCATCCAAAGTACAAAAAAAAGTTTTGACTATGACTTTTCCTCAGCTCAGTGAAACAACTGAGAATAGACTAAAATCATAGTTGCCCCTTTTCTTTCTTTGTAACATTTCCTGTTTATTATTCTCAGGTGCTACTTCCCTCTCTCTATTCATCAGCTGACTAAATATGCCCTGTGTTTCTTCCATCCATGAGTGGGAACAGACTGGAGGGCAGTTAACAACAACTTTTCTTCCAACTCCACATGGTGAAAAGTATATGAGATCAAAAAGCTGAGGCCAGAAAGGATGAACAGTAATGAAAACAGAAAAGGAACCAGTTCTTACAACCTATATACTCTAGAGCCCATACTTCAGAAATGCTGGATTGGCAACACTACGTTGCAAAATGCTTCTAATGTGCTTTTCAAATGAATCCGGGGTTTCAGCCAGAATACGGAGGGGAGACTCTGCCACTTCAACATCTTCTCGGGTACAAAGCAGGGAAGGAGATGCTGGATGGACTGTGCTTCTGCAACATAAATGCATCAGTACATACATACATGAATAAAATAATGAAGTCTACTGTGGAGTTATTTAAATATTATAGGGAAACATAAGCCACACCACTTTATCCAGAATTTTGCGGTTATGGGAGACTATAAGGTGTCACCTTTGTAGAAGAACATACAAGAATGCATGTCTTCTGCCTTGGAGAGGTCACCTTGGGGAGCTCCTCCCTGTTCTACCAATGCTGCCCTTTGATAAAGCACTTTGGACTCTGACACTTCAATTTCTTTTTTGAAAAGATCAAGGTAGCATAAAAATAAAATTCATCATGAACTCTTCTTGCAAGGACTTGAGAGCCAGTTTATAAACTGGAGACACAAACAAATCACTCGTTTCTTAGAAGTAGTTTAGATTTGATCAAAACTGATACTCAGCCAGATAACCACTGTATATAGTAACATTTGGGTCTCCCTAACTTCATTTCTAAAACTCAGATCCACTCATGTACAAATATTCACAAACACAATTTCAGAAAGAGCTTGAAAAATATTAACAAACCTTGACAATATGGTAAAATGACTTAAAGGCAACAATTCAAATACAGAAGTTCGTTAAACAATAATGGGGAGTTGGCAGAAATATGATTGTGAGGTATCTAATTAGTGCTTCATAGTTACCCCCGTCCCCTGGGATTCATGTTCTTTATTCTGAAGTAACCTAGTATGACTAAATCTTATTTTACTAAAGGCATATAAGTTCTTAAAAAATATGCTGAGGTAACAGGCAAAAAGCCAATTTTTTTTTCAGTGATTTTATCATTTTTGTTTAGTCTTGCTGGAGTTTTTAGTCTCAGTATAAAAAACACAAAACTGATAATTGTTTTGCCTTGTAAATAATATCACTTATTAATCTTCAAAGAACATGGAGGGTCCTCTAAGGACAGTAAATTAATGCCATTATTTTGAATTTATGTCAGTGTCTAGAAGCACATGCTTTGAATCGACACCAAGAGACTAGGGATCTAGTTTTCTACACTCGGTGGCTGTTGTTTTTGGTACTCCTATTCCTGTATTTAGAGCCCTGGTGGCACAATGTAGTTAAGAGCTCGGCTGCTAAGCAAACGGTCGGCAGTTTGAATCCACCAGCCACTCCTTGGAAACTCTACGGGGCAGTTCTACTCCGTCCTATAGGGTCGTTACGAGTCAGAATTGACTTGATGGCAACGGGTTTGGTTTTTTTTGGTTTATTCCTATATTTATAAAACTCAAAAAACACCTTCTAGGGCTACTGCTGATTATAGCGTAATATTTGTGATTCTTAAGAGAAACAAAGACTAGGACTTCAGAGTTGCTATATACCACCTTTCTTCCAAAGAGTTTTACACATTCTATTAAGTCCCTCTGAGGCTGGCAGAGATGGAGAAAGAGTATGGGTGTGGCTTTGGAGTCAAAAAGACTTGAATTTGAATCCAGCTTTACTATTTGTTACCTGTGACTTCAGGCCCCTTTACTTCACCTCTCTAGGCCTGTTTTCTATAAAGTAAGGATGTTGACAGTGCCCTCCTTACAGGAGGCAATAAAGGTAAATGGTTTAGTTCTAAGTCTGGCACATAATAAGGGCTTGATAACCATTAAATCTAATCCATATTAATACTGTGGTTTGGTCCTTATTTTTAGTATTCCTTTCCACACTTTGAAGAAAAGCTCTTGACTCTCAGCTAGTTGAAGGAGGTGCCAGAAATCATGCCTAGAATAAAACCTTGTAGAGATGGCAGGAACAACAGAAATATCTACTCTTCGAACCCTCAAGTCAGAAGCCAAAGCATAAACCATGCTTCAGGCCGGTTACTGAGGACATTTTCCTAGCTTAGAATTAATTCCCTGTAGAATTAATGACAGCCGTGTGGGAAATACAAAACGGGACGTACAATAAAGGTCTTATGAGGCATTCATAGGTACTGGTGATGCAGATCATCGTGGGCCCCAGAATGTCAGGGACGATCCAGAATCCTCTTATCGGAGCCGGCTGCCTGGGAAAACACAACCACAGTTATATTACAAAGCAGCAAACATAATGGAACCAAGAGCAAAGGCATGACTGAGGGTCGTTGCCACCTCAGGCTGAGGCTAACAGTTACCTGGGACATGCTATCTATCTGTGCAGTAACCTCGAAGGTGGTGACTTGGAAACCTGTAATACTTAGAGCCCTTATCAATTTGAACCAAGCTGTCACTTTACAGTCTGGCAACCATTCGACTTACAGTCACTCAGGACCCAGAGCCTGATAGTGCTCCCTGTACCTTCAGCACTCGCCCACTCATGCGTAAACTCCAGCTGTCTTTGTAGGCCTAGTACTGTGCCCAATAGATTAACTGCTCAGGAGCTGTTGACTGAACAGAACTTAGAGTAGCTCACATTAAAAATTCAATGAAGCCGAACATCTATGGCCTAGGACTCAATCTAGTGTGCACAGCACACATCTCTCATTCTCACTTCCTACTTCATTAAAGAAACTGAAAACTGAAGACCTCTCTGTGAGCGCCATCCAGGATCCATCTACTGGTCCCATCCTGGCTGGAGCAAAGGAGAATGAAGAAAACAAAGGACACAAGGGAAAAGACTAGTCCAAAGGACTAACGGACCACAACTACCACAGCCTCTACCAGCCTGAGCCCAGCATTAGATGGTGTCTGGTTACTACCACCAACTGCTCTGGCGGGGATCACAACAGAGGGTCCCAGGCAGAGTAGGAGAAAAATGTAGAACAAAAATTCAAATTCACACACACACACACACACACACGCACACATTAAAAAAAGACCAGGCTTGCTGGTCTGACAAGAGACTGGAGAAAACCTGAGAGTATGACCCCCGGGCACCCTTTTAGCTCAGTACTGAAGTCATTCCTGAGGTTCAGCCAAAGATTAGACAGGTGTACAGGGTCGCTATGAGTCAGAATCAACTCAGTGGCAATGGGTTTTTTATAAGGCCAACCATAATGCACGTGAGGAACGTTCATCATAGTTAAATCATGGGAACGCCAGCCCAAAAGCAAAGACGCGAAGGCAGGAAGGGACAAGAAAACTGGACAAACGGAAACACGAAACCCGGTGAGAAGGGGAGAATGCTGACACACCGCAGGGTGGACAACCCATGTCACAAAACAATTTGTGTATTAACTATTTAATGGGAAACTAATTTGCTCTGTAAACTTTCACCTAAAGCACACACACACAAAAGCTAAAAGTAAAAAAACAAAAAATGACCTGATGCCCTCAGCTGGGGACTCTGTCAACATGCTACGCTACTTGCACCCATGCTCATCCCATCAGGCTGCACAGCACGTTGCTGCTTCTGGTCTCTAGATGCCACCTCCTTTCACCTCTTCTGAGGACTGCTCATCAACTCTGCAGCTTCAAAATCTCCCCTATATTGCCTATTTCCCCTCAGCTTATAAACAGTCTCCTCCATTTGAAACACCCGCCACTATAATTTTAAGCTACTTCATCCTATTCTCCACTCCCTCCTTCCCTTTAGAACCAGCAGTCTATAGTACTATGTCCTCTTCCTCATCTTCCATTCTTTTTTTTTTTTTCTTTTTTGAGGGAGGGGAATCTGGGAAGTTTTAAAAATTGTATCTTTTTAGTGTGAAAGCTACATATAGAAGAGTATTTTTACACAGTTCGTAACCATGATCAGGTCACAAAGAAGAGCACTGCAGCAGCCTAAGACGTCCCGCAAGACCATCCCTGATCACAACCTCTCATCCCCACAGAAGTAAGCACTATTCTGACTTTTATGATACTCACTTCCTTGCTTTGCTTTATAGTTTCCCTACCTAGGTAATCATTTCTAAGAAGTATTACTTAATTATACCTGTTTTTTGAAGTTTATATAAATGGGATTTTATTATATATTTTCGCCATTCACTTTTCAACCTGCTAGTTTGCTATCCTCTCCTGCCCCTAATACTGTGTTCCTGTGGTCCTCAATGAGCCCTCTAGAATGCCAATCTGAAGTCTGCACTGCCCCTCCCTGGACTGCTGCGCTTACTTGATGCTGCTACTGCCCACTGCCTCCTCTTTGAAACACTCTCCCTTGGCATCCCTGACACCATTTCCTCTGAGTTCTTCTCCAGTCTCTGTGGCAGCCCATTCTCAAGTGTCCTTCCTGGGCTAGGCTCCACTTCTTACACTCACTGCTTATCAGTAAATGCTGCTCATGACCCTTCTCTGGTCTCCTCTACTCATTTTAGACCCTTTTCCTCGGTAAACTTCACCAGAGTCCTGGCTCCAGTGCTGACATTTCCACATCCACATCGTCCCTAGCCCAGACCACTCCAAGCTGCAGATTTCTGTATGCAACACCTCTTGGGCTCCTCCACCTTGGACGTCCTGTAGGAACATAAAACTCCAGATGCCCCCAATTAAGCCATCTCTTTCCTCTCAAATCCACTCTTTCTCCCATGTCCCCGTTGCTCTGAAGGGTACCACATCTACCCAGTTATCCAGGTAGAAACCTGGGAGTCATTCTGGATAGCTGCCCCCCACCCCCACCACTTTTCTATTTATCAAATATTTACTGAATATCCATTAAGCATTCTGCAAAACACTGAGTATACAGACACGAGGCAATCAGTATACACTATGAGGCAAACAGACATTGTCTCTACCCTCATGAAACGTACACTCTGATAGTGGTGATAGACATTAAACAAACAAACATAAATCATAATATGTGCTACAAAGAAAAAGAGAGTAATAGGAGGAACCTAACTTAGACTGGGGAATCAAGGGAGCCATCTCTGACGAAGTAACAATAAGATCAAAGGAGATTAAGAGTTAGCCAGGTGAAGACAACAAGCTGGGGTTGGAGCTGCGGAATACCTTCCAGACAGAGGAAATAATATGTGGGGAGGCCCTGAAAACATGAAAGAGCTTTTGATGAACATTTAACGAACTGACACTCTTAGGGGCGAAGTATCATGTCTGCAACTTACTTTCAAATGATTCAGCAATATCATTTTTGTACATGGGTGTAAAACATCTAAATTACTGAAATGAACAACCGTCACCTGTGTATAGAGGGGAGAGTAAGTCCTTACCTGCATGGCAATGGCTTTGTACACAGGATGTGTTCTACAAAGCATTTCTGTTCTGTAGCAAGTTCCTGTAAACTATCCTTATCTTCTTCATCTACAAAGGAAGATAGTCTGTAAATTAACTGATGCTTAGATAAAATTCTCCGAACTAAAACGCTGACATTATTTACATGCAATTCAGTTCTTGCCTCAGACCATTGTTTCTCAAGGAATATGCCCTCTGACATAGAAATCTCCTTCCCCAAGGGTCTAGACCCTCCATTTCTGGCCCAAGAAGGAAGAGAGATTTTCCTTGGCCAGGTTTCTAAATGCAGAAATGGTTCACTGAGGTGAACAATTCCAGAAATCATTCCCTTCCATGGTCTCTTCCTCACTCACATTATTATTTAAGTAACAAATTGGTTGAGCTATAATGTACACACTATAAAATTCTTAAAGTATACAATTCAATGGTTTTTGGTATATTAAAAGAATTGTACAACCAACACACAAACAATTTAGAATATTTTCATTTCCCCCAAAAGAAACCTTATACCCTACCTCCCCAGACCTAGACAACCACGAATCTCCTTTCCATCTCTGTGGATTTGCCTGTTCTAGACATTTTGTATAAATGGAACTATACAATATGTACTTTTTTTTATGACTAGCTTCTTGCACTTAGCATGTTTTCAAGGTTCATCCACGTTTTAGCATGTATCAATATTTCATTCCTTTTTACTGTTGAATAATATTCCATTGCACTATACAACATTTTGTTTATCCATTCATCAGATGATGGACATTTGCATTGTTTTTTACTTTTTGGTGATTATGAATAATGATGCTATAAACATTTGTGTGGACATACGTTTTCATTTTTCTTGATATAGCTAGGAAGGGGATTGCTGGGTCAAATGTTAGCTTTATGTTTAACCATTTGAGGAACTGCCAAACTTTCCAAAGAGGCTGCTCCATTTTCCATTCCTATGAGTACTATATGAAGGTTCTAATTTACCCACGTTTGTTACTGTCTGCCTTTTTAAACCATTCCAGTGGATGTAAAGTGGTATCTCATTTTGTTTCTGATTTGCATTTCCTTGATGGCTAATGTTGTTGACCATCTTTTCATGTGAATATTTGTATATCTGAAATGTTTATTCAGATTCCTTACCATTTTTTGATTGGGCCACTTGCCTTTTTATTACTGAGTTCTAAGAGTTCTTAATATATTCTAGACACCAGTTGCCACTGAGTTGATTCCGACTCGTAGAGACCAGACCCCATGACACAAGCCCCTCATCAGATACATGACTTGAAAGTACTTTCTCCCATTCTGTGAGTTGTCTTTACACCTTTTTGATGGTGTCCTTGAAACACAAAAGGTGTTAATTCAGATGAAGTCCTATTTATTTTTTCTTTTGTCATTTATGCTTCTGGTATCATATCTAAGAAACCACTGCCTAATCCAAGGTGATGAAGATTTATGCCTAATTTTTTTCCTAAGAGTTTTACAGTTTTAATTCTTGTATTTAGGTTTTTGATCCATTTTGAGTTAATTTTTTTATATGGTGTGAGATAGGAGTCAAACTTCACTCTCTTGCCATGTGGATATCCAGTTGTTCCAACACCATTTATTGAAAAAACTATTCTTTACCCATCAAACTGTCTTGACGCCCTTGTAAAAAATCAATTAACTGTAATTGTAAAGCTTTACTTCCAGACTCTCAACGCTACTGAACTTACCTATATGACTACCTGTATGTCAGTACCAGAGTCTTGATTACCATAGCTTTGTGAAAAATTTTTTAACTTGAAAGTGTGAGTCCTCGAACTTTGTTCTTCTTTCTCAAGATTGTTTAGGCTACTTTGGGTCACTTGCATTTCCATATGAATTTGAGGATAGGCTTGCTGTCTGCAAAGAAGCTAGATGGAATTTTGATAGGGATGCAGTGAATGAATCTGTAGATCAATCTGGGGAGTGCTGCCACCTCAAAAATATTAAGTCTTCCAGTCCATGAACATGGGGCATTTTTCATTCACTTAGATCTTTTATTTCTTTCAACAATGTTTTATAATTTACAGAATGTTTTATATTTCTTTTGTTAAATTTATTCCTAAGTATTTTATTCTTTTTGATGCTACTGTAAATGGAACTGTTTTCCTACTTGATGCTTTAATGATTTGAGACTTTGGGGGATGTTGGGATGGGGTGAATGTATTTTGCATGTGGGTTGAACGTGAATCTTTGGGGGCCAGAGGGTTGAGTGTGGTAGGCAGAAAAATGCCCCTTCCCTAAAGACAACGTTAAAGATGGAATTAAAGTTACTAATCAGCTGGCTTTAAAATGGGAGATTATTTTAGATTATCTGGGTGGGCTCAATATAAACACAAAGTTCCTTAAAAGTGAAAGTGGGAAGCAAAAGAAAAAGTCAGTGATGCATTGTGAAAAGGACTCAACCTGTCGCCCTGCTGCCGGTGTTCAAGACCGAGGAAGAAGGCCACAAACGAAGGAACGCAAGCAGCTCTAGAAGCAGGAAAAGGAAACAGATTCTCCCCCAGAACCTTCCAGAAAGGAACACTGCCCTGCTGACATCGTTTTTTTTAAATAATATTTTATTGTTTACGGTGAAGGTTTACACAGTAGTTTCGGTTCCCATTCAACAATTTCTACACAAGCTGTCCAGTGACATTGGTTACATTCTTCACAATGCATGAGTATTCTCAATATTTCTGTTCTGGTTGTTCTATTTCCATTAATCCACTTTCCTTGACTCCTCACATTCTCATCTTTGTTTTAAAGTAATTGTTGACTGTTTGGTCTCATGTACGTGATTTTTTTTTTTTAAATAGTACTTTAGATGAAGGTTTAAAGAACTAGCTTTTCATTAAACAGTTAAGTACACATATTGTTTTATGACATTGGTTAACAACCCCATAACATGTCAATACTCTCCCCCTTCTCGACCTTGGGTTCCCTATTACCAGCTTTCCAGTCCCCTCTTGCCTTCTAGTCTTTGCCCCGTGCTGGTGTGCCCCTTTAGTCTCGTTTTGTCCTAATGGGACTATCTAATCTTTGGTTAAAACGTGAATCTCAGGAGTGACTTCCATTACTGAGCTAAAAGGATGTCCAGGGGCCATACTCTCGGGGTTTCTCCAGTCTCTGTCAGGCTAGTAAATCTGGTCTTTTTTTGAGTTACAATTTTGTTCTACATTTTTCTCCAGCTCTGTCTGGGACCCTCTATTGTGATCCCTGTCAGATCAGTCAGTGGTGGTAGCCAGGCGCCATCTATTTGTACTGGACTCAGTCTGGTGGAGCCTGTGGTAGTTGTGGTCTATTACTCCTTTGGACTAATCTTTCCCTTATGTCTTTAGTTCTCTTCATTTTCCCTTGCTCCTGAAGGGGTGAGACCAGTGGAGTATCTTAGATGGCCGCTCACAGGCTTTTAAGACCCCAGATGCTACTCACCAAAGTAGAATGTAGAACACTTTCTTTATAAATTATGTCAATTGAGCTAGATGTTCCCTGAGACCATGGTCCCCTCAGCCCAGTAATTCGGCCCCTCAGGGAGTTTGGATTTGTCCATGGAGCTTCCATGACCTTACCCTGAACAAGTTGTGCTGGCTTCCAAAGTATTGTGTACTGTCTTACACTTTACCAAAGTCACCACTTTTCTACTATCTATTTAGTGTTTTTCCACCCCCACCCCCCCTCCCTCATAACCATCAAAGATTGTTTTTGTGTGTAACCCTTTTTATGAGTTTTATAGTAGTGGTCTCTTAAACAATATTTGTCCTTTTGTGACTGACTCATTTCACTCAGCATAATGCCTTCCAGATTCATCCATGTTGTGAGATGCTTTGCAGATTCATCACTGTCCTTTATCATTGCATAGTACTCCATTGTGTGTATGTACCATAGTTTATCCATTCATCTGTTAATGGGCATCTAGGTTGTTTCCATCATTTTGCTATTGTGAACAGGGCTGCAGTGAACATGGGTATGCATATGTCTATTCGTGTGATGGCTCTTATTTCTCTAGGATATACTCCTAGGAGTGGGATTGCTGGATCATACGGTATTTCTATTTTTAGCTTGCTAAGGAAGTGCCATATCGTTTTCTAAAACGGTTGTACCATTTTGCATTCCCATGAGCAGTGCATAAGAGTTCCAATCTCCCTGCAGCCTCTCCAAAATTTCTTATTTTCTGGTTTTTTTGATTTGTGCCAGTAATGCCGGAATTAGATGGTATCACACTGTGGTTACGATTTGCACTTCTCTAATGGCTAATTATCATGAGCATTTCCTCATGTGTCTGTTAGCTGCCTGAATGTCTTCTCTGGTCAAGTGTCTGCTCATTTCCTTTACCCATTTTTTAATTGGATTATTTGTCTTTTGTTGTAGAGGTGTTGGATTTTCCTGTAGGTTTTAGAGATTAGACATTTGTCAGATTTGTAATAGCCAAAAATTTTTTCCCAGTCTGTAGGTTCTCTTTATATTGTTTTGGTGAAGTCTTTCGATGAGCATAAGTGTTTAATTTTTAGAAGATCCCACTCATCTAGCTTATCTTCTGGAGTTTGTATGTTGTTAGTTATGGTTATATCCTGTTAATGCCATATATTATTGTCTCTAGTGTTGATCCTGTTTTTTGTTCTACAATCTTTATAGTTTTTGGTTTTATATTTAGAATTAGTTTTTGTGTATGATGTGTATCCTGTTTCATTTTTTTGCAGATGGACATCCAGTTTTGCCAGCACCATCTGTTAAAAAGACTGTCTTTTCCCCATCTGATGGACTGTGGGCGCTTGTCAAAGATCAGGGGACTGTAGGTGGATGGATTTACATCTGGGTTCTCAATTCTGTTCCATTGGTCAATATATCTGTCGTTGTACCAGTACCAGGTGTTTTGACTACTGTAGCTGTACAGTAGGTTCTGAGGTCAGGTAGTGCGAGTCCTCCTACTTTATTCTTTTTCTTTAATAGTGCTTTACTTATCCTGGGCCTCTTTATAAAGTTAATGATTGTTTTTTCCATCTCTTTAAAGAATGTTGTTGGTATTTGGATCAGGATTGCATTGTATTTGTAGATTGCTTTGGGTAGAATTGTCATTTTCA